GAGGAGGAGGAGGAGGAGGAGGAGGAGGAGGAGGTGGAGGAGTAGGAGGAGGAGGAGAAGGAGGACTCCCCCCTCTCCTCTTGGCCCCCCCTCCCCCCAGGCAAGGCTGGGTGTGCGGGCGGCCCCTCGAAGGCGCCGGCGCCCCGCGGCGGCAAGGCCCCCAGGCGATCCCCCTCTCTCAGGGGTGCGGTGGGCCACGCGGGGCAGCGTGTGGCCCCGCGTGAGCGGAGGGTGGTGGCGATGCGGAGGAACGTAAGGTTAGGTCGGGCCTGTCCCTCTACAGGAGGAAGATTCAAAGACAGTAGAACAAATAGTCTGGGGACGACTTTTTGAATATGTTTGTATATTTTGTAAGTGCTTTGAGTTTTTCGTCCAGCATCCCCCAATTGGAGGAGCATGAGGATTGGAGGAAGATAATCGGAGGATGGAAAAGCTTCCCATACCTTTGAATCGGGCCTGTCTTTCTACAGGAGGAGAAATTCAAAAGTAGTAAAACATAGTCTGGAGACAATTTTTGATTATTTGTAGCCACTTGGAGGTATTTGTGTGTGTTTTTCGTCCGCAGGGGGACATGCCCGACCTAAGCGTAGGAGGGACATGTCCGACCTAAGGGACATGCCCGACCTGAGCGTAAGGAGCGAGGAAGAGAATCAGAGGATGAAAAAGTGCCCATACCTCTACCCTTGCCCGTTTTCCCCTTTTTGGGCCTCCTGAGAGGCCCTCGCCGCCATCGCTGGATTCGCCTCGGAATTCTGGTCAGAACACGCCCTGGGAGAGGTCCGGGGAGTAGCAGTATCGGTACCTGTTGGTATCCCCAGAGAAGCAGGAGGCGGGACGAGGAGGCAGGAGAAGGAGGAGGAGGACAACGACGACGACGAGGCATAAAGAGAAGGGATTCGGAAGAGGTGAATGGCGAGGGGGGGTGCTGAGAGGAGGAGGCTGAAGAGCAGGACGAGGAAGGGGAGGAGGAGGCGCAGGAGGAGGGGGGCGCGCAAACGGATCAGAGTGAGGCGCATGAGGAGGACGGGTAGAGACGGGCAACTTGTTTCTCGCGCACCATATGATACGATGCACCTGGAACAGAGCGGGGCCCATGCTGCGAGGGTGCGATCTCTCCGAGCAAGAGGCTTACCTGTGCACTGGAACGTCTACACCACGTGGTACTGACTACAGTGGGGGCCCATGCCAAGAAACACCCTGGTTGCCCCCAGGGTGCCCTGGGTTTCTTGGGTTTCGCTGGTTCTGCTATGGAAAGCGTGGCGCTCCCACACCCAAAATCAGGCGTCCTGGGGCTTCGGGGTTGTGTTTCTTGTGGAAGGCCTCTTGTGGTCGGGCTCCCACTGACTGTAGCACCGCATGCCGGTGGCCAGCCCTGGGCAGGCTCGGGAGATCAGATGGCAATCGGGGCGGCCGCATCGTGTCAGGTGCAGCGCGCCCCGGGCACGCTGGGCGCAAGAGGTAGCGCGGCCCCGCCCGGGAAGCGTATATCCTGGGACGGGCAGAGCGCCGTGGGCAGCGACCGAGAGGGAGGGACTCCAAAGGAGGGGCCGACCCGGACGACGACGGAGCTGGGCGGGCGATACATTTTGTGCCGATTTGGAAGCAATGGAAAGGGCGTTTGATCTGGCGGGAGAGGCGTGGGAGGTTGAACTCAGCAACGGGGATGGTGGGGTCCCTCCGTTGCTCTCTGGCTCCTGCTTCTCCTCCTGCTCCCCCCTCTGCGCCCCTTCCCTTCCTCTGCACCCTTCTCGTCCGCCCCATCTTCCTTCCCTGTATCCTTCTCGTTTTCTGCGTTGGCCAGACTCTGAGCGACCGAGCTCGTAGCGTCAGACATCCTCTCCATCCTTCTTCGGCCTGCCCCTCATGCGGCGACCACTAGCTCGGCCCGCCAGGCAGTGCCCGCCGCGTGACCATGCGTCCGTGTGTCCGTCCGTCTGACTCTCTTCTCGGCTCTTTGAGCTGCGGCGCTCACCGCTTCGGCCGCCGTCACCCTCCTCGTTGTCAGGGAGATTGGGGGGGGAGGGTGGCGAAACGCGCCCCCAGGCTCAGCAAGGCACGAGGATGCCAACCCTCAGCGTTGGGTTGCTACTCTCCAGCGGGGGGGGGCTGTGCTCAAGAGGAGGCCGCAGCACCGCTCCCCGACATGTGGTGTACCAGCCAAAGCTCGCAGGCTGGGCCCGTTCCCACCTCCGTGCCGCTGTGCGGAGCGTCAGCGTGTCCCGTTTCTGCCGTCATCGTTGTCGGCGTTGTTGTCGTTACCGTTGTGCGTGCTGCTCTGCTCGGCGCACTTCTCCATCATGCAGTGACCACCGCCACCCCGACATCTCATGCTCCTTCTCCCCCCCCTTTCCTCCATTTCCTTTTTCTCTCTCTCTCTCTCTCGCCACATCGCCGATGCATCGACGATGCGTCTCGATGTGCAGCCCGATTGTCTCCGCGCTGGCGTCGCCGAAGCTCCGCCGATGCGTCGCCGAAGCTCCGCCGATGCACTGGCGATGCATCGCCGATGCATCGCCGAGGCGGCGCGATCCTCTGGGCCCATCTGCTCGGATCCCATCTGGGAGGCCTTCAGGATGGCGGCGGACGACGACGCCGACGGCCCCACGACGGCGACGGCCCCGCTCTCCCGGCCCCCCCCCCGCGCGCGGCCCCTCGCAGCGGCGGCACGCCGGCGCCGCCGCCGGCCAAGCTGCCGCCACCGAAGGCCTCAGATTGGCCCGAAGGAGCAGCTGCTTCCGTATGTAATTTGCGTATTCTTCGGTCTTCGTATTTTCTTCTGTCTATTCGTCTCTTGATTCCTCTTTCTGCTTTTTCTGCTTCTTTATTGCAGTCTTCTTTTAGTCTTTCTATGCTTATGATTCTTTCTCTTCACATTCTAGTCGCATCTTTGATAACTCTCATTATTATTCTGATCCGGCTTCGTCTTCTCTTCTGCGTCTTCTTAGCATTATTGGCTGAGGCATGCGACGGCCTTGCGTCGAGGTTTCTGGACGTGTTTCGTCCTCTTGGGGCCTCTGGGAGGCTTCTCATCGCCACGACTGGATCCTTTGGTAATGATGGCCAAAACACTCCCCCCGAGAGGTCCAGGGGCCGATTTATCCTGGGAGAGGAGAGGGAAATGGGAGGTCACCGTGATGTGAGGGAATCGAGACGTGAAGTTTTTGTTGGCAGCTTTCGGACGTTCGGTGTTCTCCCAGAGCCCTGGGACCGTCAACGACGACGACTCAGGATCACAAGCTCGTCCCAGAGAGAGCGCCCGGGAGTCGATGATCATCTGCTTCCCGCAGTGCTGCTTTTCACGAGCGCCACAGGCTGATGCGGGAGAGGAGTGAGGCTGGGGCTGTCCCAAGCAGCTTGTCTTAAGGCGAGCCCGTCCCTCTACAGGAGGAATACCCCCAAATAGTTTTACAACCAAAATCGTCTGGGAACGATTTTGAGTATTGTTTTGGTATTTTTTCGTTTTTGTCTCAAATCCGCCTGTAGGGGGACACGCCCGACCTAAAGCTTGTCCGCAAGGGTTCGGCATCGTGTTTTTTTAATGCCCGGTGAGGGCTCCTGGGCCCCCCGAAGTCGGTTGCCCAGCATGCCCCCCCCCATCTTGTCCCCCCATCGTGATATTGCCGTTGAAGGAAATCATTTTGCAACAAGAATTGGGGGGCCACATTGAATGCCCTTCAGGCCTTACTATTGAGCAGTCGGTCCTGGAGATGAGCGGCCGGAAAAGATCTGAACCCAAGAGCTCGATCGCAACGCAGTCCAATATTAGGGCCAGGGGGGTGGAGGGGGGGAATTCGGCTCTTTGTCGTCGGAGCATTGCTGATGCAAAGTTTCTTCCGTCTACCGTGCGCAGAGCTGTTCTCAGGGCCTTCGCTGCAAGGGATGCAAGGGTGAGGATGCAGGGTTAGAGGGAATTGAGGAGGAGAGGAGAGTAGAATGAGATTCGTCGTTATGCCGTCTGCGGCGTCTGTGTGTCGGAGTCGTGGAGTCGGCGGCCCTTCGTATCCAGGCTTCGGCGTAGGAGGATGCGTAGCATTGCTGTCCGGCTTTCGGCACGCGCTCCGTCCTCCTGCCGCCGGTTTTTTGACCTGGCCCGTCCTTGGCGGTGGCTGTGCTTCGCCTGGCCTCGTTCTCCCTCGCTCGTGTCGCTCCTTGCTCCGTTCCTCCCCGGGCCGGTCGCTCATCGCGCTTTGTGGCTTCTTCTGTGTTGGCGCCGTGCACCTCTCCTCCTCCTCCGCCTCTTCCTCCTCCCCCTTCTCTCCCTTCCCCCCCATCCTCCTCCTCCTTCCTCCTCCGCCTTCTCCTCCTCCTCCTTCCTCCTCCCCCTTCTCTCTCCCCTCTCCTCTGCCTCCGCACGCTCCCCCTCCTCCTTCTCCTCCCTCCCCCTCCCCCTCCCCCCCGTCCCCCTCCTCCTCCTCCTCCTCCTCCTCCCTCCTCCTTCTCCCTTATTCCTCCTCTCCTCCGCGCCCCCTCTCCTCCTCCTCCTCCCTTCTCGGTCTTCCTCGTTCACCTCTTCTCGTCCCTCTTCCTCTTTACTGTACTCTCCAGCAGTGCCTGCTCCTTTTCCACGCTTGCCCTCGTCGCGTGCGAGCGCGCATCAGAGGCTGTTCACCCACCGGCCGATGGGGGGTCCCAGCGGCCCGCTGGCGCTTGGTCGGGCCGGCTGCATCGGCGCCGCCGCTTCGCCCGGCAGCCCTTCGCCTGCTCTCAGGAGCTCCCGGCCTTGGCCACGGGCCGGCGCGAGTTCGGTCGCGTCTCACCGGAACGCTGGCTGTCTGCGCTATGCTCCGGACATGTGGTCGGCGCGGCAACCCCTTTTCCGGGTGTCTCTGCGCTCCGACTGACTGCCTGCGTGACTCTGTTTGGCCTCGACGCCTCTCCTCTCCGTCCCTCTGGCACGCGGCCCAGGATAATCAGTTGGCCAATCCAGGTCATCCTTTCCGCGCCTCGTGTTCGCATGTGGGTTTAGTTCCCATCTCCTGCTCCTGCATCGCTTGGGCCAATTTGGGCAAACATTTGCGTGTGCGCGTGCGTGCAAGTAGGCAGCGTGGAGCCACGAAGGGTGCCACCACGAATCCGTAAGGGTTTCGCCCCCTGCCGCCGGCCCCCTCTTTCGGAAAATGGGGTATGCAAGGGCTATGTGACGAGGCCTGGGCGCCGTCGTGAAGCAGCGTCGGAACTCTGAACGGGGGCCACTTGAGATATCCAGGTGCATATTGCGTAAGTTACGAGAGAGAACTGCCTCGGAGACGTGTATATTGTATACTTGTTTAAAAGAACTATGGTCCCGGGGGCACGAACACAGCGCAATCTGCGAGGGTGTGTGGCCTCGGGGACGCGAATCTTGTGTAATGGCCTCGGGGGCGCGAATGCGATGTAACCTACGAGAGATTATGGCTTCGGGGGCGACTATCTTATGTTTTTTTTTCGTTGTGTCCCAGGATCCCCCAGAAAGTCTGAGAACCCCCCCAGGTGAAGGTAACCAGGGCCCTTTCTGGCTCCCACCCCTCGTGCGGACTTCAAGAAATTCACAGGACGCACAGTAGCAGAACACAGCATTGTGACATCGAAGACTGGAAACTTGATTTGGTTCAGGGAGCAGCATGCCTGAGCCGCGGAGCCTGATGGCCCCGCAAGGGGGCCGGCGGATTTCAGGTTTTGATGATTGCGCAAAGATTTAAATTTTGCGGAGCTCCAGCCAAACACGAACGCTTGTTGGACTCGTTGCGCAAGGGGAAGGGTGTTGCGGGGGCGTTGCTCGGCAAGGAGAAAGAACATGGACATAAGAAAAGGCAAGCGGCGCGACCGCGAATGACAAAGGTCTATCCACTTGACGGTTCGATAATCTTAGCACTTCCCGATAACGTGATCGAACATCGATTGAGGTTTTGACGCTTGCGGCGACAATTTCGGACATTGCCGGAGCGTTCGTCTGAACACCATATGCTGTTGACGTTTCCGCACAACACAGTTGCAGGGAAAGGTGGAAACGAAATGTGTATGGACAAAGGTGAGTAGCAAAGGAGGTGAAGTTACAGCCCATGACGCAACCTGACCAGGTGCCTGAGGCAAAACCGCTACCGTGCCAGCGAAGCACCCTATGTGGCAATCCTTCGAGCACCTCCCAAAAAGGTGTTACATGTGACACTTCTCATCTCCAGTTCTCGAGGAGCTCTCATGGGGCTTATTTGGGCCGTCTTGTGGCTGTATTGGGCTCCTGTGCAGCAGTCTTGGAGCTCCCTTGGGACCCTCTTCGGTCGTATTAGGGCCCTCGTGGTCCACCTCTTGGCCTCGTGGGCCGTCTTGGGACAAGTGTGGTCGTCTCGTGGTGTTTCTTGGCGCCGTGTGGAGGCCCTCTTTGCTGTCTTGGGGCTTTCTTGGACCGTCTGAGGTCTCTCAGGAGGCCCCCGTGGGCCAGCTTCCCTGGAGGCCAATGGAAGAGTCTAGGCGTAGCAGGTGCGTCTGGTTTCTCGAGGCTCTCCTGGAGAGCGCCTTAGGAGTGTATTGGAGCCTCTAGGGGGCGTCTTGTGTTTTTTTTTGGCGCTCCCTGGGACATGCTGGCTGCCTTTTGTGGCAAGGTTGAGCCATCTCGGCGGACTTGGTTGCCTTTTCTGGGACGCCGTGGAGAGCTCAGAATATCTCCACAGAGCCGTCTGGCCGCACAGGGGTCCTCATGGGATGGGGTGGGTGCACGCAAGTAAGCGTGTCGGGAAGGACAGCTCTTGGCATCCTACCACGCCTCAACGTACTAGATGATACGGTGGTAGATTGAACTGATGTTTTCTGGAATCTTTCACACGGACCGAGGTTTTACCCAATTGAGTGAACCACACCAGTTGCAGGCGCTAGCACAACATTGATCAGTTTCCACCCTTAGCGATGCGGAAGACACGAAAGCCGGTCGCCGGTCCCCGTGGCTCCGATCCTATCAGAGACGCCATCTTGGACGACATGTTGAATGCGACGCCCCAATGTGAGTGATCGCCAGTTTGGGCAGCCTGGGACTTTCCGTGCGTGCGAGCACGAGGCCTGGAGCAGCAACATCTCGATTTATTGATGCCTTGACCGTGGCGTGTTGGTGGCGGGAGTTTCCTGGCCACCGCTAAAATCAGATTCACACGTGGTCCAATGACATTGTGGAGGACGATCAATGGAGACGAAGCGTGTTGCCAAATACGTTCCATATGTCTAAACCATGATGTGTTACACTTGTGTTAAGCATGTAAGAACATGTTTCAACAAGTGTTGGAACATGCTTCAAACAGTTTAAACACATGTTTAAGTCAGTGATTCGATTGTTTGAGTGTCCATTGTCATGGCATCCACAAACACAGCAGATGCATTATCGCGCACACCGAGCTCCACAGGTACTCGTGCTGACGCCCACCAGCCGCGGCAACGCGCGACAACGGATTTCCTTCGGAGGGGGTCGAAGGGAATCTTGGCCAGTGGTTGGCCGTCGGGAGTTCGCTAGAGGAGCGGGATGAGGGAGGGGATTCGCAGGAGGACGACGAGGAAACGGAGGGGAAGAAGGATGAGGAGAAGGAGCAGGAGGAGGAGGAGGAGGAGGAGAAGGATGATGATGATGATGATGATGATGATGATGATGATGAGGAGGAGGAGGAGGAGGAGGAGGAGGAGGAGGAGGAGGGTGGCCATGACAGCGTCTCCTGCAGGTGGGCGCACTCAGAAACAAAGCGACTCGGCTACCGACCAGGCGTGCAGCTATTGTTCGGCAAGCGCTCTGCTGAGCAGCTGGTTTACTCAAGGGCTTCGTCCGCACAGACCGCAACCGATCTGGCCACAGCAGTTTCTTTTTCCACGGGAAACCTGGATCCCCCCCATTGTGCGTTCGTCCAACGGCCGCGGGCGAGGGGGTGATGAGGCGAGGGGGGGGAGGAGGAGGAGATGAGGGGAGGAGGAGATGCGAGGGGAGAGAGGATGGCGGACGGAGGTGAGGAGGAGGAGGATGGAAGGAGGAGGATGAGGAGAGGAGGAGGACAGACACATGTGGAATAGAATTTCCGCAGGCATCGGAGGGTGGGATGGGCTGGGCAGCCGTGGAGGGGGGATGAGGAGAGCAGGAGGAGCGGGAGGAGGAGGGGGGGAGAAATAGAAAGGAAGGAGGAGGGAGGAGTACACGGGGAAGCAAGAAGTGTAGGAGGAGGGAAGGAGGTTCATGGAGGCAGGAAGGAGGAGGAACAGGAGGCCATCCACGAGCGAGCCGAGTGCCATACCATCCCGCCTCCTGCCGTTGTCATCCCCGTCTCCGTCGTCAGGGGCGGCATCGGCATCGATGTCGTCGGCGAGATCGTTGAGGTCCTCCTCCCTCTTCTCTCTTCTCCTCCTTTTCTCTTCACTTTTCCTCCTACTCTTTCTCCTCCTATTTCGCTGTGCCGTTCTTCTCCTCCATCTTGCCTCGCCTCCTACTCTGTTCACGCTCCCTCCTTCTCCTCTTCCCCCCTCTCTCTCTCTCCTTGTCTCTTTGTCCCCCCTCTTCATCACTCCTCCTATCTCCTCTTCTATCCTCTGCCTCATGCCCCCTTCACCTGCTCCTCCTACTCCTACTCCTCTATTCCTCCTATCCGTCAGAGGACGACGGCGACGACGACCCAGCCGAGGCCGCCGCGGCGAGCGAAAGGCCCCCGAAGGCCGGCGCAGCGCCGACCGCAAAGGGTGCGGAGAGGCTGGCGATCGCCAAGGCCCATCGGGCCCTCTCCGCTCCGCTCCGCTTTGTTGGGCGCTGCCTCCCCCGCTCTCTGCCGCGCTCTCTCTCCCTCTCTCTCGCGCGCTGGCGGTGGCCGTGGTGGGCGTGGTCTGCGTCGCGGTGATAGCGGTGGGCGTGGTCGTTGTCATGGTCGTGGTGGTGAGGGTCGTGGTGGTGGCCGTGGCGGCGGTCGTGGCAGCGTGGGTGGGCCGGGGCGAACTGCCGCGCGGCCCGTTGGGGGGCAGGGTGGTAGTTTTGCACATCGCTAGTGGAGGGAGCATGTTGTTTTGTTAGCGTTGCGCGCATTATTGGGGAAGCTGTTTTACACGTCTTGGGTCCTCGAATCCACGAGTCTTTTCGATCTGCCTGTTGTACTGTGCTGCAGTCTCTAGACTAAGGCAACCAATCGTCCACGGGGCTGGGAGGATGACAAGGAGTTGGAGCTGGAGTTGGAAGAGACAGCGGAGGAGGAGGAGGAGGAGGAGGAGGAGGCGGGGGAGGAAGAAGTGGCGGAAGAGGAGGAGCCGCGCGAGTGGCTCCATGCCCTCCTCCTCCTCCTCCTCCTCCTCCTCCTCCTCCTCCCGCAGTGGCTCCTCCCACTCCTCTCCCCATGCCTCTCTGCCCTTGCCCCCGTTCCTCGCCGTCTCCTTGCAGCTCCCCCAGCCCTCGCGTCGGTGGTTCTCTCGGGGCACACAGCTCGGGCCTCGCGCGGCCGGCCGGGACGATCCTGGGGCTCCCGGCGTCGCCTCTCGGCGAGGCGCAGCCGCTGGACACATCCCGAGGCAGGAAAACCTGCAGGAGCCGAGTGTCGTCGAGCAGCTGCGCGCGAGGTTGCGCTCGTGCTCCCCTTTGTCCTCCTGGCTCTCCTCCTTCTCCTCCCGCCTCCCCATGCTGCAGATCCATCCTTCTCTCCATTTTTCCCCACCCTTCTCCTCCTCCTCCTCCTCCTCCTCCTCCTCCTCCTCCTCCTCCTCCTCGTCATCCTCCTCCTCCTCCTCGTCCACCTCCTCCTCCTCCTCCTCCTCCTCCTCCTCCTCCCTCCTCTCCTCCTCCTCCTCCTCCTCCTCCTCCTCCTCCTCCTCCTCCTCCTCCTCCTCCTCCCCCTCCTCCGACGACAGCGTCCGAAACACGTCCGTCGATGATACCTCGAGCCGGCGGCGGCGACGTGGGCGGCGCCGACCCGCCGCAGCAGGTGCCGCCCCCCGGCGCCGGGCCGCGCCCCAAGCGGCCCGCGGCCACCGCGGCGGGCGGGGCCCCGGCGGCGAAGGAGTGCTCGACGTCGCCGCATCCCTGTCCTCGGGGGGGGAGGTCCTCCTCCATTCTTGTTCCTCCCCCTCCTCGTCCCCCTCCTCCTCCTCTTCCTTCCCTCTCGTCTCGTCTTCCTTCTCCTCCTCCGCCTCGCCTCCTCCTCCTCCGTCCTCCTCCTCCTCCCCGTACCCTCCCCTACCACTTCTCCCCCTCCTCACTCCCTCTCCCCCTCCCCTCCTCCTCCTCCTCCTCTTCCCCCTCTCATCATCAATCCTCCTCCTCCTCGCTAGTCCTCCTCCCTCCTCCTCCCTCCTCCTCCTCCTCCTCCTCCTCCTCCTCCTCCTCCTCCTCTTTCCCGCCTTCCTCCCTCTCTCCTCCTTCTCCTCCTCCTCCTCCTCCTCCTCCGTGCTGCTTTTTATTCTTAACTTTTGTCGAAAGATATATAACAGACGCCATGACACATAAACTTTTGGCGCTCGTCCCGGATCTCTGGGATCCGCGCTGGGCCCCCCCCGGGCGGCGCCTCTGGCGCCGCCCCTGGCGCGCCCCGCGCGCCTCGCAACCCGAGACTGGTCGAACGAAAGGGCGTTGCGGGCGTTGCGCCCGAGACGTCCTCACCACTTACGACCCTGAAGCTTGAGCATTGGCAATATTTGACTCCAACATATTCTGGATGTCTTGGATCTGCGCTGGCCCCCCCCTGGCGTCCTCCGCGCGCCAGGGAGGGGGTCCGAGCTCAGATCCAAGAAATCCACGCGGAGCGCCAAAAAACTATGTTTATGGTTCCTTTTCTTTTTCTACAAAAAAGTATTATTGGAAAGTCTCACGGAGAAGTATTCGCAAGTGCGCGCAATGACCGTGAAGCGCCCTAGCCACAGAGTGATCACTCGGGCCTCAGACCACCGACCCTAGGAGACTCCGAGATGACCCTGGGACTTGCGCAGTCCGAAGCCCGGATATCGACGCAGTCCAAGCGCGTATAACGCTCATGGGAGACGCTGAGAAGCGCGCTGGAAAGCATTCCTGGGAAGCTTGCAAGCGTGGGAAACCTGTGTGGGAGACGCTTGCCAGGACGGTGGAAGCATGCCCGGGGAGCTTGCAAGCTTCGAAAAGCGAGCTTCGAAGGAGCTTCGAGGGTGCTGCGAAGGACGTGCGGAAAGGCTTCAGGCACGCGTATTGGGAATGAGTAGGATAACGCTTCTCGGGACACGCTGCAACCTCAAGCAAGGTGGCCGCGGATGCCTGCCCGGGAGCCTCGGAGAGGAGCTGGCGTAGCCCTGCCTGCCGGCTTCTTATCTGAAACCCGCTTAGCTCTCCAAGGGGCCATCCGGGAATGACCCTGCATAGTCTGAAGATGGCTTCAAGACGGCCCCAACGCAGCAGGAGTCTTTGAATTTATGGACCCCATCGTACGCCGAGCCGATCTCAGCATGGCGGCATCCGTGAACGTCCCGGCATTTTGGTTTTCTTCATTTTTGATGGGTGGGATATTGCTCGGGCTGAAGTACATTACGTTCATACTATTACAGGGGACTGAACTGGGCGGGATCCCGCCTGGTCCACGGCAGAAGACTACATTGCTAGGCTTCTACCGGGGTAGGGGGGTTCGGAAAGGACATCATTTATTTCCGGTGCTTTCTGCAAGTATTATCCGTCTTCCGCCTCTTGTCACTTCCGTCGGCTTCCGCGCACGTCAATTACTTCCGATGTCTCCCGCATGCTTTCCGCCGTCTTCCGCCTCGTTCTACTTCTGTCAGCTTCCACTGTTGATCGTCTTGGAAAGATTAAAGGGGATGTCAATGGGCCGGCGTAGCATCACAAGTGGAAGGCGGGTGGTTGTCAAAACGGGGCTCTCGCCATAGCGCCGCGCGAACTCGTCGTAGAAATTTGCAAGAGTTTTACACAGGGACGGCGGGTGGTTTTCAAAATGTGGATCTCTCCTAGGCAACGCGCATATTCGTGGTAAAACTTTGCAAGGGCTTCGCGGATTGAGGACGGGTCGTTTTCAACATGTGGCTCTCGCTTTAGTGCCGCGCACATTCGTTGAAACAACATTGCCAGAGTTTCACGGATTAGGGCGGTTCTTTCCAGACGGTGATTCATTCTCTTATTAGCGCCGGGCGCTTTCTGTTTTCACAGATACAAGAGTTGCGCGGATTCCCATGGCCAGCGTGCCAGAAGCGGTGTATTGGACCGACTCAGGATGTGAGGGCGCAGCATGTACGTGGATACGAAGTGTTCAAGTCCCAGGCATAATATTATTGCACGATTCTCGGCCGGCAAAACACAACATTCAGGTTGATTCGTGGCGTTGGAGTCCCGAGAAAGGTGTTATTGCACTTTTCAGGGTCTTCAAACGGCTATCTCCCAGAGGCAGGTCCTTCAGTGGAAGTGAATCATTGCAGGGGCCCCAAAACCTTTACATACGTAGCGTTTTACTTCCGTGTGTATCTTCTGGCCCGCCCACGAGGTAAGGCCCATTCGGTTCCCTCCTGCTCGGCTGACTTGACTTAGTTAGCTTATGCTGCCCAGTCGGCTGTCGAATTGCCCCTGGGCGGTACTCGCCGATGACGGCAACGGCGGCGATGACGAGGACATGACGTGCCCCCCCTATCACGCTTCAACCTATTCCTCCTCCTCCTCCCCGATGCGTTTTCCTTCTTCATAATTCCTCCCTGTCGCACCCCGAGGCCAGCGGAAGGGCGGACCAGGCGTTTCGCCTGCGACTTCCTTACCGCTCATGGTCCTGAAGCTCAGAAGTTGGCAGCAGTTTCATATATGAAAGCGGGTCGCTAACAAAATTAGGTTCTCGCCTTAGCGCCGCCCCCACATTCGTCCTGCAAGATTGCAAGAGCTTCACGGATGAAGGGTCGGTTGTTTTCAAAAGGTGGCTCTCGCCCTAGCACCGCCCACCTTCGCATTAAAGAATACAGAACGTCACGGATTGAGGGCGGGTCGTTTTCAAAATGTTGTTCTCGCTTTCGCGCCGCGCAGATTCGTTTGTGAAAGAGCTTCACGGATTGTGGGCGGGCGGTTTTCAAAAGGTAGTTCTCGCCACGGCGCCGCGCACATGCGCGCTACGCATTTGGACGGGTTTCACGGATCGAGGGCGGGCGGTTTTAAACATGTAGTTCTCGCCACATCTCCGCGCACATTCGCTGTGAACATTTGCAAGATTGTCCCGTATTCCGACGGTTCGTTTAACAGAGCTTGTGTTTGAAAGCGACTCAGGATTGCCAGGGCGCACCATCTATGTTATATTGATTCGTGGTGTTGACATCCCGAGAATGGTGTTCTGGCAAGCTTCAGGATTTTCAAACGTTTGCTTCCCAATGGGGCGCTCTCCTCACTGGAAATGAACCCTTGCAGTGGCCTTTGAAGAGAGAGCTTGGAAGGAAGGCTTATTCCAACATCCTTGTTGGGTCTTGGATTTACACCGGTCCTCCTCATCCTCCTCCTCCTCCCGCCCAGGGTCCAATGGAGGGATCCCTCGGAAGAGCGGGAGGTCATGAGGATGATACGTTCCAAGCTTTCCCGGCTTTCCCATGCTTCTTGATGCTTCACAAGGGCTGCAGGAACGAGGGCCGCTTGCTACTGTCAGGAACTCCTGAAATTCATCCTGAGCCAATCTGATCATGACGTCATGCCTGTTCTAGTCCTACCCGGGGCCCTTGCAGTCTCGGTCCCAGAGGCTCCCAGCAGGGAGAGGGAGGGAAGGGACAAGCAGGGGAGGGGAAAGAGACTGAGGTGGGGTCGCGGGGGTGGGCGAGTATCCCACGGGAGGGATGGGGAGACGGCGAGAGGGAGGGAGGTGGGGAGAATGACAGCTAGGGTGGTACGGAGAGGCGGGGAGGGGCGGGGTCGAAAAATACCGAGTATCGTCGAGCAGCTGCGCGCGCGGTTACGCTCCTACTCCCCTTTGTCCTCCTGCTTTTCCTCCTTCTCCTCCCGCCTCCCCATGCTGCAGATCCATCCTTCTCTTCATTTCTCCTCCTCTTCCTCCTCCTCCTTTTCCTCCTCCTCCTTTTCCTCCTCCTCCTCCTCCTCCTCCTCCTCCTCCTTCCTCTCCTCCTCCTCCTCCTCCCCCCCCCTCCTCCTCTCCTCCCGCTCCTCCTCCTCCTCCTCCCTCCTCCTCCTCCTCCTCATCCTCCTCCCTCCCCTCCTCCTCCTCCTCCTCCTCTCCACTCCCCTCCTCCTCCTCCTCCTCCTCCTCCTCCTCACTCCTCCTCTCCTCCTCCTCCTCCTCCTCCCCCTCCTCCCCCTCCTCCCCCTCTTCCCCGTTCTCCTCCACCGCGGCCAACTGAAGGTCCCAACGCCCCCCAGGGGGACGCATGGACTGGCGCCCCCCGAAGAAACCTCTGGGGCAAGGTGCGTCCGCGGGCGGGCTCGCCACCTTCAGTGTGGACGGCCTCGCTCGCCGCCCGAGTGCGGAGCGCGCCGAAAGCCGGGCAACTTGATGGCGGAGACGGAGGGCGAGGAGGAGGAAGAGGCGGCCGCATTCTGGTGGCATGTGTTTGGCTAACCAGCTGGGCACAGTAGGTGTTCGCCCCCCCCTCCCCCCCCAAAAAAAAAGGAAGAGGCGAGGCGCGAGCTCTCTGGGAAGATGAGTCGAAAAACCAAGCACGGCACAAATATACACGCTCGACGCTCCGCACGGATTTCTTGGATCTGCGGTGGCCCCCCCCTGGCGGCGCCTCCAGCGCCGTCCCTGAAGCGCTCCGCGCGCCAGAAACGGGGGGTCCAGCGCAGATCCAAGAAACCCGCCCCCACCGTCAAAACTTGATGTGTTATGCCGTTTCTGTTCTTCTAGGACTAAGCCTCTCTGGGCCGCGGGGTCGTCCTTGTGATTTCTCCAGCCGCTGGTCGCCCTGCTGAATTATTCGACCAGTCCTCATCTGACAGGTGATCAGGACGTCTCTGCTGCCTTTTTTCAACAGCCAGAGGTTGATAGACGCCCCATCCTGCCAAGTCGATGGTGAAGTGCCCAATTCCGATTCTCGAGCGGGCTTTGCGGCCGCAGGTAGGACCCCAGGCCGTGTTCACAAAAGGGAGTTTTCCTCCTCTCCCTCCCCCTCCCTCTGCGTGGCCGCCCTAGCCCTTTTCTATGTGTTGCATGCCGGCCATGTAGCCATTCAGTTTCCCCGAATTGCCACACGCTGGAACGGACCGCCTCTGCCTCGCCGCCGACGGGAAAAGTGTTGCTGAATGGATTTCTCCGGAAAGGCACCGAACGGGCAGGCTGGTGGACACCCGTTCACACGGACATCTCCTGTGGAGGATGTGGGCCAGCCGCCTTGCATCGTCGCGACGGGCGCCGCGTGGCTGAGGACCACTTGGTCAGGAACTCTGGTTCATCTGGCTCGTGTGGCCAGCCCTGGATCGGCCGGCGCCGTCGCGGGATGGGCCCTGAGAAGCTTCTCCCTCCACCTTCTCCCGCTCCCGCTCCCCCACCCCCGTTCCCCTCCTCTCGCCCCCCTCCCCCTCCTCCACAATTACACAATATGACAATACTCTCCCACTTCCCCTGATGGCGTCCCGAAGATGGCCGACCCCCCCCCGCGTACTGCTTTTTTACACACAAGATTCCGGGGAAACAGGTTTTCGCCTGTGTTTTTTTCCAAAATGCTGCTCTCGCTGAGGCGCCGGCCTCACCGAATCGTTCCGAATCGTGCTCCCGCTGCAGCGTGGGCCTCATTTTCGGATCGGTGTTTGGCCTCCGTCGTTCAGGATGGCGTTCTCGCCCCAGCGCGGGCCTCTTTCTCGCGCGCCCATCCGCCGACACCACCGCGCCGCACCACCACCACCACCACCACCACCACCACCACCACCACAACCCCAACACAACACCAGCCACCAGCACAAACACCAACCATTCAGTGTCCATGCACAGGCACCCGCGACGACACGCCACACACACACACACAAAGAAACACCACCCCACCACCACCCCAACACCACCACCACCACCACCACCCCACCACCACACCACACAACAACAACACAATTGCTAGCAATGGGGACCTCCGTTTTCCCACCAGTGCCGGTTTTCATAAGGCGGGCAATACCCACCACCCACTGGGGGCCGGTTCACGCTCTACCATTTTTCCAAACGACTCTTCGCCACCACCCACACCCAGCTTCCCGCCCTATGACGTTCGGACACTTCACTTCGTGGCATGCGGACGACCGTGGCTACTATTCAGGGCCCCGCGGCCGACGACGACGGCGTGCGCGCGCGAAAAAAAAACGAATGTGTCCCGCATGGTATTATTTGACAGGGATGATGGCCCTGGCAGGTGCGCAACCGTTGTCGCAGAAGTTCGAAAAAGTTGCTCGCAAAAGCCCGTTTGACAGAAATGTTTAAAAAGTGTTGGGTTTCCTACGAATCCGCAAGAGCGCGCAGGATGAGATTTTGACAATTTTTTGTTGAACAACCATTGGTTTTTTGATGTTTTTATGTTAAAATCGCTGCGAACACTAAGGTTTTGGAAGGATTTCGTCTTGCGCGCGCGAATGTCCACTTTACCTTATTTTTTGCAAGGGATTCTTGAAGTTTGGTTATGTTAGAACAAGAAATGTCCACTTTGCCTTACTTTTTGCAAGGGAAAACCGCCCGTAACAAAACAACCGGATCCGGACCAACCCGTTTTGCCGGAGACTTCCTCACGAAAATGATGAAAACATGGCTGCGGCCTAGGCGCGGCGAGGGGGCCGTGCACCAGGGCCCCAACATATTATTCCTAAATTAAATAATGTTAACCCACGCACAACACACAACAACCACAACAACAACCAACAACAACAACACCACAACACCAACCCAACGACAACACACCAACAAACGACACCGACAACCGAACACCGACCGACAGCTGCGAGGACACCAACACCAGCACCACCACCAACACCAACACCAGCAGCAGCACCACCACCACCAGCACCAGCACCAGCACCACCACCACCACCACCACCACCACCACCGAAACCACCACCACCACAACCACCACAACCACGCACGCACGCACGCACGCACGCGCACCACCACCCACTACGCACGCGCGCGCGGAGCCACAGGTCCGCTACGACGCGCGTCCGCGGATAGAGAAAATCAGCGCCATGGTAAGGGATGGGAGGGAGGGGTAGGACGTCAGATATGACGCGAGCGCACATAGCTTGCCCCCCTCCTCCTCCTCCTCTCCCCCCCCCGTCAACCCTCCTCCCTACCCCTCCCCCCATCCCGCTCCCCTCCTCCCCCTCCCCCTTACCCTCCCCACCCCTCCTCCCCCCCCTCCCTCCGCCCCTTCCTTCGCTCCCCCTCCCACCTACACATATCAATCTCTCTCCCTCTTCCCGATGACGGTTTGGAGGTGGCCCGACCCCGCCCCCCCCCGCGTACTGTTTCTTTTCTTTACACACAGGTTTCCCCGGAGTTGGGTTTTCGCTTGCATTTTCCAAAATGAAGCTCTCGTTGAGGCGCCGGCTTCATGTTCGGGCCCCGCTCGTTCCGAATCGTGCTCCCGCTGCAGCGTTGGCCTCATTTCCGTGCTTCCGCTTGATCCGAATCGTGCTCCCGCTGCAGCGCTGGCCTCATTTCCGCGCTTCCGCTCGTTTCGATTCGTGCTCCCGCTGCAGCGCTAGCGTCATTTCCAGTGCCATGCCACGGCATGCGATGCAATGCTAGGTTGAAACTACGCTTTGCGGTGCTCTTCTACGCCATGCCATGCCGTGCTCCTACAATGCATCGCGTACCCTTTCGGGATCATTGCCCTGCTCGACATCCGACTGTGCGAGTAGAGAGGGGATCTACGCCATGGTAAGGGATGGGTAGGAGGTGGTGGATGTCGATATGACGCGAGCGCACCCAGCCGCTCCCCCCCTCCCCCGTTCCCCTCCCTCCCCCCTCCTTCCCCCCTCTCCTTCCGCCCCTTCCCCTTCGCCCACCCCTCCCCCCCTCCCCTGCCTCACCCCCTCCCCCCCCTCCCCCCCCCTCCCCCGCTCCTCCCCGCCCTCCCTTCCCCCCTCTCCCCCCAAGGCGCGGCGGTGAGCGGCCGCGCGGCGCGGGGCCCCCGCCGTGCTCAAAGCACTGCCGCGGGCCCCCGGGCCGGCAGCCAGCCGCGCGGCGGCGCTCCTCGCCGAGGCGGGCACCGCGGGACCCGCAGATCGGCCCTAAGCGGAGGGGCCCTCGCGGGGGAGTTCCTCCGCCCCCATCCCTCCCTCCCCCTTTTCCTCCTCCTCGTTGGCCTCCTCGTCGTCCTCCTCCTCCTCCTCGCTTCCCCTCCTCTTCCTCCTCCTCCCCCTCCTCTTCTTCCTCCTCCACCTCCTCCTCCTCATCGTCCTCCTCCTCCTCTTTCTCCTCCTCTTTCTCCTCTTCTTTCTCCTCCTCTTTCTCCTCCTCGTCCTCCTCTTCCTTCTCCTCCTCGTCCTCCTCTTCGTCGGTCTCCTTCTCCTCCTCCTCCTTCTCCTCCTCGCTCTCCATCTCTCCTCCTCCTCCTCCCTCTCCTCCTCCTCCTCCTCCTCCTCGTCGTCGTCGTCCTCCTCCTCCTCCTCCTCCTCCTCCTCCTCCTCCTCCTCCTCCTAACCCGGTTGCACATGCCATCCGATTCGGCAGGGGTGACGGTCGGGAAGTACTGCGCGGTGACGCGGTGAAATGGGTGTCCCCTTACGCACCACGCCGTCTTGGTTGGGCAGCGAGTCTCTGAGCGACGAGGTATCTGCCTTTCCCCTGCGGGCCTCTTCCTCCTGTCTGGGAGGCCGAGGGTGACGGTTGAGCCGTGCTCGCCGTTCACTTCTTGGATCTACGACATTCATGACACTCTTCATCGTCCTCCTCTACCTTCTCCTCCTCCTCCTCCTCCTCCTCCTTCTCCCTCCTCCTCCTCCTCCTCTCCTCTATCTCCCTTCTCTTCCTCCTCCTCCTCCTCCTCCTCATCGTCCTCCTCCTCCTCGCTCTCCCTCCAGTTCTTCCTCCTCCTCGCTCCTCCTCTTCCTCTCCTCCTCCTCCTCGCTCTCCCTCCTCCTCGCTCTCCTCTTCCTCGCTCTCCCTCCTCCTCCTCCCTCCTCCTCCTCCTCCTCCTCGTTTTCCACCACCTCCTCCTCCTCCTCCTCCTCCTCCTCCTCCTCCTCCTCCTCCTCCCCCTCCATCTCATCCTCCTCGCTCTCCTCCGCTTCCTCCTCTTTTGTTCTCTTCCTCCCTCTCCTCCTCCTCTTCCTCCTCATCCTCCTCGTCCTCCTCCTCCTCGCTCGCTTTCCTCCTCTTCCTCCTGCTCCTCCTCCTCCTCCTACTTCGCCTCCTCCTCCTCCTCCTCCTCCTCATCCTCCTCCTCCTCCTCCTCCGCGTCCTCCTCCTCCTCCTCCTTCGCGTCCTCCTCTTCCTCCTTTTCCTCCTTCTCCTCCTCCTCCTCCTCCTCCTCCCCATCAGCATCACCATCATCATCATGGTCCTCAACCGCCTCGTCCTCCTCGCTCTCGCGCCTCCTCCTCCTCCTCATCATCGCTCTCCTCCTCCTCCTCTTCCTCCTCCTCCTCGCTATCCCTCCTCCTCCTCCTCGTCTTCATCCTTCTCCTCCTTCTCCTCGTTGTCCCTCCTCTTCCTCTTTCTCCTCCTCCTCGTCCTCCTCCTTATTATCCTCTTCCTCCTCGTCCTCTTCCTCCCCCTCCTCATCATCATCAGCATCATCACCATCACCAACCTCATCTTCATCACCATCATCATAATCATTAGCATCAGCACCATCATCATCAGCATCATCAGCATCATCATCATCGCCATCGTCAACATCATCACCACCATCATCATCATCATCATCATCATCATCATCATCAGCATCATCATCATCATCATCATCATCATCCGCGTCGTCACCATCCATTTCATCCGTCTTCTCCTCATCCCTCATCCATTCTCCGCATCATCAGCATCATGAGCATCATCATACTCATCATCAGCATCATCATCATCCTCAGCATCATCATCCGCTTCCTCCTCATCGAGTTCCTCCTCCTCCTCCTCCTGCTCCTCCTCCCCCCTCCTCCTCATCGTCCTCCTCCTCCTTCGCCTCTTGATTCTCCTCCTCCTTCACCTTCTCGTATCCTCCTCCTCCGTTTCCGTCTCGTCCTCCTCCTTCGCCTCCCTTTCTCCCCACATTCTTTCTTCTCTTCCTCCTCCGCATTGTTCGTCGTCCTTTTCCTCCTCAGCATCATCATCCTCATCCTCTCCCTCCTCCCCATCATCATCATCATCAGCATCATCATCATCATCAGCATCATCATCATCATCATCCGCATCATCATCATCATCATCATCATCATCATCATCATCATCATCATC